GGGGGGCGTTAATTCGAGGATTTTCGGTATGGGTTACGCGCGAATATTGTTACGACACCAACTCGCGCGGTTAACGCGCGAGAGAGTGAACGTTCCCAGCATTCTTTGCAACAACAGTAAGTCCATGTTGTTGAACCGCGAAAGTTGAACGAGGCTGAAAAAAGGCAGACAAAAAGGTTAATTTTTTCTTATTCACCGTGTATTTAGTGCTTTTCCTTGTAGTGCTTTCATGCTTTGTTCGTATGGAGGACTTTCTCCTTATCAGTGTACCTGTTGTATATTCAGGGAAGAACTTCGCTTGGAGCTGGAAAGCTTTGATGGCGAGCGATTGAACTCGGATTGCAGGTAAACGTCTTGGACAAACAGAATATATTTGATTTATTTACATTGTTAGCTGTAGTAATATGTATTTCTTCTCCTTCTGATCGGGTTCCAACTTGCTTCTAAGTTAGCTTCGTTGTACATGAAACAACATGTATGTCCCCCACCATAAGTGTATTTTCGTGAGTGTTGCCCCCCCTACCGGCGGTATCTTCAATATTGTCGCGAGTGTTGCCCCCCCCCACACACACACAGCAGACAAGATCAAATAAATAGAATGCCTATATCTGCCTTAGAAGGTGAATAATTTTATCTCAGATGAATTATTTGTCTTTGTTTAATCATAACCAGTGGTTTCATTAAGGGCCGGGCACCGGGCAAATTGACCGGCTGAGACGGTGATTTTGGTTGCCTGGTTTGACCATGGAGAGGAAAGGTTTTCTTGTAAAGAAGTTCAATTCAAAACGTTTTGCCGCCTGTGAAAACCAGTTGCCCTGTTGCTGAAAATATTAATGAAATCCCTGCATAACAAGATTTTTTTGGAGCAGTTTATCTGGAATGAGACAACACATGGCAATTAAGCTTATGTGTAAACTGTTATATGTTTTGGAAATTAATTTGTTTGATATGCTCATATTTGTATTGTACATATTTGTATCAGTCAATTTGAAACCACCAGATCCCCTCCCTATGCCCACAGGGGAGGGGGTACTCCCAGAAAAATTGGGTGGGGGCACTTCCGAAAACCCTTACCCTATTTAAGAGCAAAATTGACTTTTTTTGCTGCGATTTTTCCTGCCCTATTAATGCCCTGACCAAAAATTTGATACCCTATAAATCAATACCCTAGCTGTTTCAGACCAAGCAACATTCAAGAATGTTTTGTATATGCAAGGTTAAGCTTGCAAGCGATGTTACCATTTCAGCCAATTTTTTTAACAAGATAGGTTAAATTAAAGTAAGAAATTTCGCCAACTACCGCATGTATTCTACTACTTTTCTCTAAAATTTTTGTCGATGCTGATTTATTATCTGATATTTTGTTGGGTGCGTTGTCTGTAGTCACCAACTGCCAAATGCATGATTTCTTATCCAAAAAGAACATCTGCTTAAAATGATTGTTTGCAGTCTGATATGTATTTTCAATTACAGTAACTGATCTTAGAGACCAAAAGACAATTTTACTGGAAATTAGACCTACAGCCAAACATTTCTGGATCAATGTTGAAGATAATGATCACGGTGTGAAAGGTCAAAATGTCAGGCAATTAGCTCATGATAAGTGCCTAGTCTTCAAGATGCTTAGCGAATAAACAAATCATTTAGATCTATAGAAACGTTCGCCATGAATAAGGCTAATAATCTGTCTTTCCCAACACACACACACACACACACACACACACACACACACACACACAAAGTGGGGGCAAGCTTTGACACTACAATTCAGAATGTGTATAGATACTGAACATTACTATTCCGCTACTTTTAGAAAAACATATATCCGTATATACTTATGATATCATTTGCTTATTATTAAAAAAAAGAATAATAATAATAAAAACTAGTAATAATAAAAATAATAATAATAATAATAATAATTATACCATTAATGGTTATAGGCTACGGCTGTCTGTCCCTTAGCAAGCTTTAGACCTTGTCATTCAGGATGCAACGAACAGAGACTTTGTATTTTGGTGACTTTCTGTTGTTTGTTATTAAAGGACGGTGGCAGGGAAGTGCACCCATTAGCTGCACTTTACCCCACAGTAAGGCTCTAGCCCACTGGAGACAGGTCCGGAGAAATTCCTATTCCAAGGTGGCTACCCCCGGTACCACCTGACCTGTACTCCCCCCAGGAGGGGCTCCCCCTNCACCCATTAGCTGCACTTTACCCCACAGTAAGGCTCTAGCCCACTGGAGACAGGTCCGGAGAAATTACCTATTCCAAGGTGGCTACCCCTGGTACCACCTGATCTGTACTCCCCCCAGGACGGGCTCCCCCTCCTGGTTCCCTCAGTCCCCCGGGACTGTGGGATATGGGCCTCACCCCTGGAGGCAGGTCTGGAACTTTTATTCCAGGGTGGCTACCCCCGTTACCACCCGATCTGTACTCCCCCAGGAGGGCCCCCTTACTGGGCCCCTACTCCACAGTCGTCCTTCCCTGCCACCCAAATTTTACCCACAGCCAGTGTGTTATTTCCTAAATGTAGTATTGTTAGTGGCAGCTCAGACCAGGCCTCGAAAGAGGATCATTAAAGTACATTAAAACAATGATACATGTAAATTAAAATCACAACAAGCTAAAACTATTTGACTTTTTTCTAGGTAACTCCAGACCCTCCTCTTTGAACAGTGTTAAAGGATAGTCTATTTGAAAGATTTCCATGGACCTTAAGGGGACAGTATAATGAATTGTGCATGTGGTAAGTTTGGTTTACTTAAAAAGTTTAGGCTGAATTTTTCAAGTTTGTTTGACAAATTGATTTAGATCTTTAAACTTGTATGGTATTTCTTGCCAAAGATCAATAGCCATAAATGAGATCATTTAAAACACACAAACAGTTAAAACACACAAAGTAACTCTAAGCTAACTAAAAATGATAAGGTTATATGGGAATAAATTTTCCTTAGCAACAGCTCAAAAAGATCGGTTAATGGGCCTGTAAAACAATGATTCTAGTAAATTAAAATCACATCAAGCTACAATTATTTGACTTTTTTCTAGGTAACTCCCTCCTCTTTGAACAATGTTAAAGGATAGTCTATTTGAAAGATTTCCATGAACCTTAAGGGGGCAGTGTAGTGAATTGTGCATGTGGTCAGTTTGGTTTACAACTTAAAAAGTTTAGGCCAAAATTTTCAAGTTTGTTTGACAAATTCAAAATGGTGATGAGTCATGGAACAAATGGAAACTAGCCGCGGTGTGTGACTAAGAGGCAACTGCAATCAGGAAAAGGTGTTTGATGAATATGTGAAAGAAGAGTAAGCCTTCATAAGCTTTGCATCCAGCTGTCAGTCTTGAAAGCATTGTGAGTGAAAACTTGGATCAGTCTCTCACTGCCGACATGTAACCCCTGTCAGAATTAGTAATTAAAAATAACTTTGGAGTGGGTTGGTTGGGCTTGCTTTTTAAGTGATTCTCAGGAATTCCCCTTTTGCAAAAATATTTGACAAAGTACGTGTAGTTTCACAGGTCACGTAGCCTGCAGAACAGGCAGATTAGTGGGGCAGAGAGTGAAACGCAGTCATGAGTGCGAAGCAGGAGACAAAGAAAATCCGCCTGTAGTCACATCATTGTTTACGCTCTTCCAACTGTTCGCATGGCGAATGGTCCTTCAAAAACTCTGGGTCTCGCAAAATTTAAGTCAAATTTCACGGGTCTTGCATTCTAATTTTTTAGCGGTTATGTGAGTCTCGCAATCTATATTTTTATACAAAGCTGTCTCAGAGTTTCGATTTTTCGCAAGGCTAAGGGTCTCCAAGTCCTGATTCGTTCGTTTACCTGCTTTTGTTAATGACTTCTTTTGGTCACTTGATATTGAATTTCAATTACAAATTTCCAAGAAAAAGTTAATCCTAACTTCTCCGAAATTGTCTGAATTCCACAAAAAGCTACAAAACCTATCAAAACATCGGTTTTGGCACCAGAAAAACAGTCATTTTGCTCTAGGATATCATAACGTAGTGTGTTATATTTGAATTTCCAGTTCCAGCCAGTTTGAAGAAGCTGGTTAAAAGCTGTCTAGCTCCCAACTAAATCTGGGGCTTGAATTTTAAGAGTCTGAACGTCTCGCGCTTGCACTTAAAACACTTTGAAGTCTCAGTCTCACAATCTCAAAAGTTAAAATGTATCAGGCTCGCAAAGAAAAACGCTTGTGTTGCTGTCTCACAAAGTCTCGCATTTACCATTTGCCACCCCTCTGATTGGTTGCTTTAAGCCACGTGAAGTCAGACATGAGAAATGACAAATAACAAAATGTGTTAAATTGGGTGACAGGCCTAAATGGACTCCTATGGCTCGTGACATTTCTACATTTGCATTCTCTTGTAAATTCAAGCCTCTGAACCTTTTATTTTGCTCCTCATTTGTTTCTGAAGGGTACTTTTTTTTATTAGGAGGACTTTTTTAAAAGTTGCATACATGTAGAGCCATTGGACTGTTAGAGGGCAGAGCTCTGCATGGTTTTAGCTCTTATCTACCGCTTTGTAGAGTTTGACACCGCTGTAATTTGCCATGTGCCAAGTTAAGTGTGATTTGTCTTGCTTTATTTTTATTGCAGAAATGTATGTTCTATCTCAGTCTGTTTAATAGTTATTTTCTCTGGAGGGACAAGTCGGTGATCATGTTGATTACTTGCATTCTATTTTGTGATGCCGGGCCCGGTTGTTAGATTAAATATGTGTTAAGTTGTGTGGCTTGTTACCGTGGATCAAGTTTATCTTTGTCCAGTGTTGCCAGACTGCTGTAGTGTTACTTTGAGAATCTTAGAGATCCGTTCTGTGTTGTCAAAGTTATGTTTCTTGCATCCTGAATCTGTCCGAGCTTTTTGTCTCCTGAGCTTGATGTTTAGGTTTATACCTCCATTGTTCCTTCTGGCACCACATGATTTAAATTTAGCTAAATTTGGATGTAATATATCAAATAGGAAAGACTGTGTTTGACCACATTTGCAAACACTGAGAAAAGAGTTGAAAATACAATGCGCAGCAGAGTATTTTTGACGAACTTCGAGGTGTCTGGAAATGTTTTTCAAACACGGTCTTGGAAAAAGGTAAAGTCTGCATGCGAGCCAAGTGGCCCATCAGGCCGGAGCTTATCCCGGTTTCTGTAGCATGAAGCGACTAGGAATATTTCTACTCCCCCC